GGTAAAGGATGCAGACTCCTGGTCTTAAAGTAACTTCTACAGGCTCTATTATTTCTGTAACATACTAATTATAATAAATACACCCATACTGCTAAGGACTGTGAAACTTGGCATCACATGATTAAGACACTACCAGCCTCAGTGGCCTCCTCAGCCATTTTATTAGAGATCACCACCACTCTGGAACATGGCATTGAGTTTCTCAGCCACCACAGTTCAGAGCCTGGAACAGGGAGTGACATGACTCCCAGTTTAATATGCCAGCCTGTGGATGGCAGCAGCTGAGGCAGTAAACATTCACTTGACCCAATTCTTTTATGGGAGATGGTAATGTCCACTAACAAGTAAGATGAGGAAAACACTGGAGGCAACAGAGAAAATGAGATACAGCTAAGCTTATCTACTGAAGCCTTAAGTTACTTCAGATACAAAAAGCTTAATGAAAAATTACAAATTACAGGAGAAGAGACTGGAGGAAGAAAACATAATGTAAAGGGGAAGGGAATAATCAAACAGGCCAGAAATCATGAAGAACCATTATCATTCTGAAGTTATCTTGAGGCACAGGAAAAGGGAAAAAAAATTAAACAGAAATTACACTCAAAGCATAGTTGACCTACTGCCTAAAGTGAAACAGGATCCTAAGCTCCTAAGCTCACTTCTGCCACAGCATCATACAAGTGAAAAACATTTTCCAGACAAAAACTAATACGCCAAATGCCCTTTTCACACAGTAAGACATCAACTTACCTGTATCTCTTTTTTCTTGAATGTGATCTGGATCTTGACCTAGAGCTGGATTGAGATCTGGACTTCGATCTTGACGAATGTGATCTAGAATTAGATCGACCCATTTCTGCCAGTAGATCTACTCCTTCCCAAATGGAAAAACAATGAGAGAAGGGAAAAAATGGAAGCAACCATTTTAGCATCCATGTAAACAATATAAATGAACAACAGAATTTGCATCTACTAAAATAACACTATTAGAAAGTAGTACAGCATTTACTAAATAAAAAAGCTTTGGAGACAATGTAAGTACATTTACTAGTAAATCAAAAGCTTAACCACATTTTAAAGAATTTAACATTGCTGCAGTGCACACACTTTCTCTAAAAACACGCAGTGTAACAGTAAAAGTTTTTTTCCACATTCAACTGCATATAGATCCTGTAGGAGAGCGGAGGCAGCAGAAAGCAAAACATTTCGGCAAATTAAGGCAAGAATAATATAACTCTGGACATCTTAACATATTGTAACAAAATTTTAGCTATTGTGTAGTTTGTAATTCCCTTGCATTTCCAATGCACTCTTCCTTCTCCAGGAAGAGTTCACAGTCCTCTACAATGCACCTTTTACATGAGCAAAGAAAAAGCCCTAACGTTATTTATTCCAGCATTTGCTAATTTGACCCACAGGCATAATTTCTCTTAACCACATGTACTAAAGCTCATCACTCTGATCCAAATTTCCACTGCTCAAGATGCTTATCCTGCATCTCTTTAGATTAACTTTGCTTTTTAACCTACATGTGTAAATGCACGGCCAACTTAAAGATTTTAACAATTAGTTAAACAATATGGCTTGCAACAAGATTCAACATCAGCACAAATTAAGCTATGAAAACTACAACTGATTATAAATCAATGAGAACTAAAAGAAAGTAATTCATAATAAACTGTCATTTCTTCTTAGGTATAGTCATAAGAGATATTTAGAATTAGTGCCAACCATAAAAAAATACACACCTTTTCCTTTTCTTTTCGGATCAGTGGCTAAAAATCCCCAATTTAATTAATAAAAACTTTGACCCATTATCATTTTCTTTTGAAATTGCCCAGCTTTGGAAAAAAAAAAAAAAAAAGTGTCACATTAGACAACCTGCATACAAGCTATGAACAAGTAACTACACATTTTCAGGCCTTTGAATGCTCAATTATCATTGTTTAATAATAATTAAAACAGAAATGGTAAAAACCAAACATTTACCTTTTGTATTGCAAACAGGCTTTAAAGCCTTTAAATTAAAGCTAACAAAACTACAGAGACTTCAGACACATCTAAGAGAACCCAAAAGAGAAAAGCAGACCAACTTTTCTCCTATCAATTGGTTCCTCCTGCCCCACATGACTTTCCCCACAAGAGTTTGCATGGCCTTAGAGATGTAACCTCATCTGAAACTACCTCAGCAAAAACTGAACTTAAACCAGCCTTCCATGTAACTCAGAAAAAACTATTTACCTTGGCGAAGAAGAGCACGTTGAATGTTCTTTTTTTATTGGCTCCTTCCACTAAAAAAGTAAATTTGCAGAACCTATACTCTGAAGATATTTTCCAATTCATTGTATTCAATTAAATTTACAGAAAACAGCTTGTAATCTCTTAGGATCAATACTCACAGGCAACGTAAATCTAGACCTTTAAAACTGTTTAAGATATGCCAATTTTCCAAGAGTGACAGTAAACAAAACCTGGTGGGTTTTTTTTCTGTTACAAATAATTATCAAAACAAATATCAGATGCACAATGCTTATAATATAACTCAATCTCAGCTTTAAATTATTTGCATTCTATGTATGACAAGTACAGCTGATCCTTACAAGACAGTTTTATATATTGTAGCTTCTTACTGCAAGCATAAAATTTAAGAAAGCAAAAGAAGATTTAATTTTCAATAGCTGAGTTCCATCAGAACGTTCAAAAAGGACTTAAGCTAAACTTACCTCAAACTGTTAGTTGGTGTCAATGAAGAAATGATTTCAAAATGCTGTGCTTTCAGCAATACTGATCCCTATAGAACAAAAAGTGAGACTATCAAAGACATGAACATTTGCTAAAAGGCAGCACCTTTTTGCTTAAACCGGTTAAAACATTAGTCTGTTTCTCATGAAAAGACAACACATAAGAAATAGCAAATTTACTCTTGGACTCAGTGATGCTGCACACTAAGACTGGAGCAGCTCAAGAGCCTGCCACTGCCAAGTGGCAAATCCTACTCCCTTTCCATACGGGACCACTCCTTCCTCAGCCCTGGTAACAGGGCTGTGTAACAGATTATCCTCACCTTCATAGCAGCCCTGACAGCCTTCAGATCCTCCAGCGACTAGCTCCTGATACCTAGAAACCACTTGCATTTAACTAGGTTATCCAAGTGGCTTAATGAAAGGCCAAACTGAGATGGATTATGGAGCAAATAACAGCATGCAGCCAGAAAGAGGGAGTCAAAAAGGACAGTGGCAAACAGACCAGTTTGAGCTCTAGCACACAGCTCTGCACTTCACTAGTTATCTTAATAGGGAAAAAAAATGGGGATGAGAACTCAGGCCAACGGTGAAAGTTTCATCTTTAGGTTTCTCTTGCAATACTTACACAAACATGACTCTAGTATAACTCCCTGTTTAAAATGCATACATATATGATTTCACCTAAAGAGCCAACATCTTCAAGAACTCGCTCTTTTTACAGTTATGCAGAAAGGAAGCATAACAGTAATAACAAAACCAGTCTCAAATGTATGAATTTTTCACTGGCCTCAGTTTCTAAGTACCTCCAAGCCTTAAGACTATGTACATTTGTAGTCTGACTCAACACTAAGCACACTTTTCAATTCCACTCAAGCAACAAAACAGGAATTTTATCCCAGTTCACTACAGACAGGCTGGAACTCCAGAAAATCTGCAGTTCAACAATTAATTAATTAAATCCAAAGGCATAAGACATTGACTGCTCCTAAAGGACGCTTCCACACTTGACCATAGGTGTTTTCTTCATCTAAAAGAAGAAATGTAGCATTTGTGTTCATAAACACTGCTTTCAAAAGTCCACTTACCATTCACTAGTAGTGACCAAGATATTTCCAATTTCTACAAAATATATGCCTTATTAAGATTAAGTTTTTACTTCTCATCATCAGCAAGCATGAGTCTCCGAAGGAGCACAGTAGTGTATCGGACCATTTCAGATTTTGTCTAGACAAAAGGCGAGATGGTATTAGCCAGTAAACGGTAACGAAGGCATTCAGAAGTCTAGTACAGAAAAAGCAATACAAACTTCAAGTTCAGGCTGAGATTTTAAATTAATACTTAAATAATCTATATTTCTGACTTAAACTGGTGTTAGCTGAAATCCCAAATCCTAATTTAGACAAGTCTTTAGATCCTGGGGATACAGAACAAGACAGTTACCCAAATTTTAAAACCTCTAAGTAGAAGACAAGTTCGTAAATTACCACAACTCAAACTCTGGTAGTCAGTTCTGCAGTCTTAGAAATATTTTCTAGCATCTGGGAAAGGTGAAAAGTAGCCACCCTTCTGTTTTTCAACAACACATTAGCTATACCACATCCAACCCTGGCAGCTAAAATGTATCTGCTGTCTTTTCCCACTTAAGTCTTTTAAGAAGAGTATGGATAGAATTAAAAAAATAAATAAAAACAAACTTTGAATAAAAAACCTTAACTGCTGAATAAACATTTAACATTTGCACTTTTTGTTTCCATTTAATTGTAATAGGTAGAAAAGCTTGACATGCAAGACTCACTTTATCCAAACAACACTCAGGAACAGAAGTGAAAAGACTACATAGCTGAGGTTTTTTTGGTCGTTGTAAATATTCTCATAATATGTAAGAATCTAAAATTTTATTAACCTTTATTAAAGCTCATTTAGAAAAGAACTGTGGTAGTACCAGGAGTATGCAGGAAAACACCTGTCTGTAACAGTCAGCTCCTAGATGCTGCACACCTTCACAGAAAAAGTATCATTTCCTCAGAGCACCATAGCTACAACATCCTGGTTCATTCACTGCAACAAACGAAAGCACCCACAGCCTCTTCTGCTCACGGCCAGGCTGGAGTGGCTACACCAGGTATAGTAAGGGCACAGTAAAGGGCAGGGAAAACGAGCTCCTAAGCACCATTTGTTGCTCTCTCAGAAGAGACCCACACTCGGCCAAAGGTGTGCATCGGCAATGTGACACCAGGTGTCATCACACCAGCATTGTTAAGAGTGCTAGGAACATGGTCTGCGCCTGAAACACCAGAGCTCTAATCCACACGCTCCTTTTCCACTCAAGCTTCTTTTTCCTTCGCTTTCCACCCTAAATAATTGAAAGGAGACGCCTGGCTCTCAACCACTTCACTACCATGTTAAAAAATCTGGATTTTACAAAGGAAGCTGCTGCAGGTCCACAGAATAAGGTGGCTCTGCTAGTTTAAAGAAACAGTCCCATCTCTCCTCTCTGGCGTTTCCTCACATTCCTGATGATCTCTCCTATGCCAGTCTAAGTATTTCCGCACCCACATACTGGATCATTTTCAATACAACTTTTTTTTTTTTTTTTATATGGTTCATTACACAGCCCACAAACACTTGGGCCAACACAGGGAAATTGAAATAGCAGCTGGGCAGAACTGCTTCTTTTGGCAGAACCACAAATTTAAAGCTTCCCTGAAACCAGACTGGCATAGCCTTCAGAAGCAACAAACTTGGTGGTATTTCAGCTTTTTAGTAATACTTGCAAGCAGCTTTAAAAATAAAAAACAAAACACCAAAAAAACCCCACAAACAAACAAAAAATCCACCAAAATAAACACACATATAAAGTCAAAATAACCAAAACCAAACACACCCAAACAACCAAGACTTAATACAAAAACCATGACGCTCTTCAAAAATTGGCTAGTCCACCATCTGTCCGTTAGTTGGGTATCTTCAACCTTGGCCAGCAAGTGTGGCCATCAAGCAAAAACAAGATACACAACAGAACTGGGCTTTGCCACCACAAGCAACACAGTAAGAAGGAAGTAAGTGACACCGTCAGCATTGTTCAATAAAAAGATTAAAAGGACACGGAAAATTCCTTTTATACAGTATTTTTAGGAGACCACCGCTGATGCTGGAGTTTTCCCAGAGTACACAGAGTGTAGATACAACACATCTCTTAAGCTGTTTTAAAAGTTATACATCACAGGTAAGTTTAAGACATTTTAGGACAGTTATACCCACTTACACTAGCAAAACACTGCTTCCTCCTAGATCCACTATTTTCGCTACCCTTCATTTATAGCTATTTAGTAGTCTGTATTTCTCTTGCTTAAAAATTGCTTGAGAACTGCCAGGAAGATTTAAATCAAAATCTTATTCAAGCAATTCACAAGCTATTGCCAAAATGTGTTTTCATTCGGAGATTCAGGCTTCAAAAGACACGATGATTATACAACCATGACAACACAAAAGGGGATAGATAGGACAGTCTTCACAAAATTCCACAGAATTTGTAATAGTTTCTCATAATACATCCACTGAAATAAAGAAAGTTAGTCTTAATGAGACAGCACTGTAAGTCATCTATTCAGTGCATGCATATCTGCTGTGCTTTCTTCTCCACTCTCTACCTCCCCCCTCCCTTTTATTTAATGTCCACTGTAGCAGTGGCACATCACACATAAGAATAGAATGCATTTCATAGCACTTAAACCCATCCTACTTGGATCATTGGTGACTTGGATTCCTACAAAAAACTAAAATTCCATGGCAAATTTGCCCAAATTAACTTGTTATGTACAAATAAAAAGTGGCAAGCATTATTCCCCCCACTTCATATGCTGGAAATATAATGGAAACAGTATAACATACAAAGGCCTTCCCCCCTCCAATTCACTACTATACAGAAAATAAGATGAAATATTTGTAAATTAATCCAGAAACCACCATCCTAGTAACAGCAAAATCACCTCTGCAAAACCGTCATATGATTGTTAGCTATCTTTTATGTAATACTATTGGCAAATAAAACCATGTTTCTCCTCTAACTAAAAAAACAGAGAAACCAAAGTGCCTGAGAAATATGTGCATACACAAAAAGGAATTAGGATGCTTTTGGACACATAGTGTTTTGTTCAGTCTTTGTTATTTTTGTGCGTGTGTTTTACACACCGTGTTTTCATATGCCCTTATACCGTGGTTTCCCCAGTCTCTGCTACAAACTACAATTGCTGCTGCAGAAAAGGCAATCTTCCCGCCCTCATTTGTTCCAAGACTGACACCCCCAGAGGTGCTTGGTGGGCTACAGCAGCGATCCATAAGAAAACTACTCTGGACAAAAGCTGCCTTTTCAGGCACATCACCTCCCAGATCCCATTTAGCACAAAGCTGCACGAGGCCAGTGCCAGAACAATGAACAAGAAAGAAACGTGCTTTTTCGGAATACCTTTGGGAGAAACTCTCACACAGACAAACAGAGCACTTTCCTCAGTAGCTTTCGTCACCTACCTCCACTACCTGTAAACAAACCCCAAATGTTCTTTGGCATTCCACAAACCCTTACAGCACTATCTCTCCTTGACAATCAGCCTGAATATAATCCATCCAAATATCTGCACCCTAGCTCCAAACAGCTCCCTGCTGATTTTTTCTAGATTCCTACAACCACTTCAAGTTTTCTGCATTCTCAATGCAAACAGGCCCTTCTTCATGGTACGTGCTCCTACCTCCTGCCCCCAGGATTCTGTCAGCCACGGCCCACACCTGAGAAGTTGCTCCACACAGGCTGGCCCGCTAAAGCCTTGCTCAGGATAGAGGCACTCCAGCTCCAAGCACCGATACATGTAACACACCGAACCTCCTCTGGTCACTCAGCACAGCCTGTCGCTCAACATCAAAAGCGACGAGTGGGAGGATGCAATTCTTACTCTCCTTGCCACAAGATGCATGCCTGGAGCACACCTCAGTAACAGAGCCTTTACCCCGTCTTCATTCTCCCCACTTTTGTCCAAAACAACATGATTATCGGAGAGGAGGACGAGGGAGGAGAAAAGCCGCTAGACAGCATTTTCCTGCAACTCCACGCTGTTTAACCAATCCCTCCCACACCAAGAACAACTATTCTAAGTGATATTTTTTATACATTTACATTGCTTAAGCAGTGACTACTCGCAAAGTCAAGAGCACCTTTGTTTTGCATGTCCTCACGTCTTTCTGTAGTAAAATTTAACTGCTCCTTTGAGGACAAAGCTTTGATCTCCGAGATAAACAAGTGATGGGTTGTACTGACTTCGTAAAGGATCAACATGACACACAAAACAAGAGTCTGACTTTCATAGAACTAAAGGCGAGAAGCAGGGGGTTTACAAAGCAAAGGGGAAATAACGGGCATCATCCTGCAAAGGTTGTGTAGTACAGTATAATCAAGACCGGGAACACAATAGTCCCTTTCAGCAAGGAGTATAAAACACACTGCGGTTCCCGACGGGGTTTTGAGGGCATCAGCAATCGGGGCAGGAAAGGCGCAGGGAGGCGTGGGGCACTTCAGGCATAAGCGCCTGAACCACAGCTATGCCCGAAGGGAAGTTCCTCCAACGGCTCTAAAGGCTGATCCAATACCGGGAAGCATCCTTTCTCCCCAGCACCTTTTCCCTCGTCAGTGTCACACCCACAAGGATAACGGGGAAATTCAACATTCCCGTAAGCAGCGTTGCACAGTCACATCCCTTCGGGCCTTCCTGACTCCCTCAGGGAGGCCCAAAGCTAAAGGCCGCGCACCCGGGGAGGCAGCCCAACAGGGCCGGCCAGCCGAACGCCCATTCCTCACACACCCCTACAGCTCCATCCCGCCAGGCTTCTAAGAGCCGCGAACAGCTCCAAGGCAGCTCCGCTGCCGCCTCCCACCGCTCCTTCCCTTTCTACCTTCGCTTCCCGGGGCGCAGGGAGGAACGGCACCGGCTCAGTCCGGCTCCCGCAGGAAGCGGTGGCCCGCGTCAGGGCGGTGACGACGACCACCCGCTCCCGTCCCGTTCCCGTCGGCTGGCGCGGGATAATCGGGATAATGGCTGCGGAGCGCCGAGGTCACGCGGCGGGGGGAAGGCGGGACGGCGCGGCGCGCGAGCACCGCGCGCTCGAGGGGGCGGGGTGGGGCCGGGCTGCTCCCCCTCAGGCTCCCCCCGCCATCTTCCCCCCAACCAGGGGCCACCGCCCCGCCAAGCCTCCACGCAGCCCCTTTACCTCCGCCTTTCTCTCACCTGGCGGACGGAACTCCCGGCGGCCCCGCTCCCTTATGGCAGCCGGGCGGCCATTTTCCGTCTCGCCGGAGGAAGAGACGTGCAGCCCGCGGGGAAAAGCAAAATCCACCGGGGGGGGCAGAGGGGGGGCGCGGGGGGGGCTGCTGCCACCGAATCGTCACTTCCGCTCTGGGCGGGGAAGCGCCAGCCCCGCGCTCAACGCCTCAGCGCCATCTTGGTTTTGGGTACCAGTCCGCAGGCAAGATGGCTGCTGGCGGCCGTCCGCCCCCGCCGGGCTGTGTCCCTGCCCCATGCCTGGGTGACCCATGTTCCGCCCGCCGCGGCCCCCGGCTCCCCCCGCACCGCCGCGGCTAAAAGCTGTCGCCTTGTATCGTCTCGTTCCCCGAAGGGAAGCGAGAGCGCAGGGTCCTCCCGGCCGTTGCCTGGTTACCTGTGGGGCGGGGTGCGCATCCATGCACAGGACAGGAGTCGCTCGGAAGGGGCTGTGTGCGGTGAGCGGCGCAGCGCAGGCTGCGGCTCGGCATCCAGCGGCATTGGCAGCCGGTGCTCCGCGCTCCGTCAGAGAGATGGCGGCGCCGCGGCGCTTTACTGCAGCGCCTTTTGCAGCAGGCGGGCGGCCGTCGCTTGGTTGCGATACAGCAGCGCCGCCACGTTCGGGGAAAGCGCGCCCGAGAGGTTTCTGTACCACCAAAAAGGTGCGGTCGAGGGCTGCGAGTGAGCAGCCTTTGACTGATGTACGGAGAGGTGTGTGTACGCTCGCCAAGTCCTACAATTCACAGAACCACAGAATATTCTGAGGTGAAAGAGACACATTTCGAGTCCAGGTCTTAGCCGTGCACAGGAGAGCCCGAAGAATCACACCATTTATTTGAGGGCATTGATAAGTAATTCACACTTCTTGGATCTTAAACAACCCGCTACCAAAAAAAAAAAAAAAAAAAAAAAAAAAAAAAAAAAAAAAAAAAAAAAAAAACGGGACACATATGCCATTTTAACGTGAGTTTTGTAACTTCTGGGACAATAACTGGGAGGCAGCCAGAGACAACTGATGGAAGAAAAGAGCATGGAAGATGAGAATCAGACATAATACCCAAATGCTGGTTTGCTGTTCCATGTGTAGGGAAAGCGATGCACTAGTTAGATCTATTTATTGTGCCTGTTAGGTTTTTTGAAACGTAGCCTTCTATGAAGGCAGCAACCAGTGAGTAGTTGATGCTGAAATAAATACTGTGGTTAACGGATGAACAGTCTGGCCTAGAGAGGAACAACTCCCTCTATCCTTTTAAGGTTTTCTTTTCTGTAGGGGTAATGGATGTGTACCTCAAATGCAGCACACATGCTACAGCTTTTGCTGTAACTAATAATAAGGTACTATTAATGAAGAGGCTCTTCATTAATAAGAGGAGCTATGATAAGGAACCTGTGAGAGAAGACAATTTGCCAGGGCCTGTAAGGTTTTCAGAACTGTCCTGAAAGCTGACTGCATTTAATACACCTATTTTTTGGTGGTTCTGAGAATTACTCATGCAGGGACACCTTCCACTAGATTAGGTTGCTCAAAACC